AAATGTTTTAAATAAAACCCATAAATAAATCAGTGCTTTGTCATGTTCTAGCCAAGAACTGTAATTACTATATAATCTTCTCCAACACACTCCTGTTTGAGGTTCTCATCTTTCTTCCAGTAAGCCTACGGCTGTAGGAGGTGTCCACATGAATTAGTGTATAACGAGATTCACCTATTGTATCATCCAGATACTCTAGAATTGCAGTTTCACGGTACTTTAAGGTTATGGTATAGAAATAACACCCCTTCCACCTCCTGCCATTGTTACATGAGTGGCAGAATCCATGGAACTTATTCCTATTAATTTTGAAAGACATCTGTTCATGCTAGTGAGATAACCATGACAGAACCTTCTTAAATTTTTATATGCCTGCCTCCAATTGGATCTTACCCTTAAATACTGGCAACTAAACATTCTTTAAATACCAAACATCTGGAAGGTATCCAAGGTGAAAAACACTGGACTGGGCAACTAAGGAGGTGCAGTAAATGTCTCCACCAATGTCAAAGCTACTTGTGGTGCTTCAGGATAGGTGTCTTCCTGGCAAATCTCTGATGCTGGATGAGGAAGAGGGGACTTCAAAGGCGAGCAATCTTTTGGGTTTCTCTGTTACATGCAGGAGAGCCTTGGCTTCTCACCTGAATGACTGCACTCACTTAGTTTAATTTCCTTATTTCCATTCATTATCTCCCCCACCCCAATTCAATCTTGTTTGACTGTTGGAGAATGCCTGGACAAGTCTCTGCAATTTTCTTGGTGAGGTTTTTTTTTTTTTATAAAAGATGTATTGCATGATTTATTCCTTTTCAATATAACTGATTAGCCTTTATATAGTAATTTGTCTTTTTATCCAATTACACTACTTTCACCTTTACAAATCTACATTGCTAAGAAATTGAATAAACACCATTGTGTAACCACTAGAGGGCAGAAGATACCAATATGAGGGTTAAAATGCTGAAGTATTTTAGGAAGTAGAGGTGAGAAATATTCTTACAAATTGTGAAGATGGTTTATATCCCTACTATTTGCTAAAGTACTTCTTGAGCGATAAACACCTTGTAGAACGTGTCCTAAATAAATAAAGTTGGAGAAGACATAATTTTTTCTGATTGTTTTCCTTTTCAGACTCACAATTATAAAAAAAACCTGAACCATTAAAATTAGTTATTGAAATACGATAGGAGCCATTGATCCAAATGATCCAAATGATATGGGTTGCATCTAATATGTCTAGATGGTCAGAAATTTGGAGAGCGTTCTTGCAGGCATTTGATTATTTGCAAAAGTAAAACAAATTTAAATAATAATAAACAGCATATGAGTATGATACAGCTGCAAAGAAGATAATACAATTTTGGGCAACATCAACAGGAATATAATTTCCAAATCATGACAAATAATCGTTCCGCTTGAATCTCCTTTGGTTCAGCCACTCCTTGAGTAAAGTGACTAATAGTTCTGAACACCCCATTTTTATTCTAATAAATTAGAATAAGTATACAGAAAGGCAGTAGAGATGCTCAGAGATCTGTAAAACCGAGCCTTATGGAAAAAATTTATTTTAAGAAAATATGAATAAGGTATTTGTTTTATATTCTGCTTTATTTTTTAATAAATAACTCAATGTGGAAAACATACCTAATATACCTTACTCCAGTGGTGTATTAACCATTAAGCAGACTAAGCATGTGCTTAGGGCACCAGGCCCAAAGGGGCACCACAAAGTTGAGAATATGGCTTCGTTTGTACAGTGTGTACAAAGGACGGTGGGCACCAAGATTTGTCAGTGCTTACGGCACCAGTGTGCCTTAATCTGCCAATGCCTTACTCCTCCTATTTATCTCACAACAACAATCATTCTGATTGTGTAAACAGGGGTGTCAAACTCACATCATCATGGTGGGATCACATGACATATTGGGATTTCCCCCCCCCCTTCGCTAAACTGGGTGTGGGTGTGGCCAGCATGTGACGCATCTAGCCCGCAGGCTGGGAATTTGACAGCCCTGCTATAAACAGTTAAGAAAGGGCTGTAAAGCATTGTGAAGCGGCATATAAGTCTAAGTGTGATTGCTATTGCTATTCTGTGAGGTGGGTTTGCCTGAGAGAGGGAAGTAGCTAATCCAAAGTCACCCATTTGATTTTTCATGGCGAAGTGGAACTTCGCCATGAAACTAGACTTCACCAACTCCTGATTTACAGCTGAATGCCATAACCATTTGATCAAACTGGCTCTAAATAGTATTTGATATCCACAAATTTATATTGAATTTGAATTGTCAGACTAATATCAAATATTACTGTCCAAATAACTGGAAGTACGTCACACAGAAGAAAGTAAAGGAGTTATCTCTCATTCCAGACTGCAGGAGACAGAACAGTGGACTTAAGTCACAGGAAAATTGATTCTGATGGAATGTTGGTGGGGAAATTCTAACAATGAGAGCAGCCTGACAGTGAAAGCAATTACCCAGAGAGGTTGTGGGCTTCTTTTCATTAGAAGTATTCAAGGAGAAGCTACATCGCCATCTGTCTGGGATGTATTAATCTGATTCCTGTGCTGAACCAGAGGGTTGATCCAATGGCCTTTTTAATCTATCAGAATCGATGATGCTGTTATGGGCAATACCATAAATACAACCACTGTGAATTTTAATCTCTCTTATGCTTGACTATTTTTGTGTAAGATTTCTTAAATAGCACATATTTATCATTTAGATTGATTTAAAGAAATCAATGGGAGGTTCAGTTCAGAAATTGTATTTTTTATACAGCACACAATCAAACGAAGGAATTAATTACCTCAAGAAGTAGTAATGGACATCATAATCTTATTGCCTTTTTAAGGGTGTGGCTTGAATATATTTCTTGGGAATAAAGCCTTATTGAAGTCAGTGGGAACATGCACATGACTTTGAAAATGAACGGAAAATAACTCTATTAATCAAGAAAGAAAAATTGAAAATAGCATGGTCCCGGGTTATCACTTCTTCATACAGACACAAACTCAATTTCATGCTCATTTTTGTGTTCTATTCCATATCTTATTACTGTTTTACATTTTCTACATAGTTTTTCCCCTCTTTTAATTTTCTCAACTTTATTTTGATTATCTCTTCTCAATTCCAATCATATTTATACTTTTGTCTGTCCTGTTTCAATTTCATATTATCTTTTCTCATTAAACAAATTTTCCCCTGTAGTTACTTTTTCAAAAAAGATGTTTTATTTGTATTATGTTTTTTGTGTGAAAACCCATATAAAATTTAAAAAAAAGAAAGGAAAATTGCACCTTAAGGTACCTCTGATTACTTAATCTTAAAACCAATATTTAGGATATCCAGGTTCTTAATTATCCATAGGCCAGTTCTTTGGTTTGATTCTTGTAAAGTTATTATATTTTATATAAAATGTTAGCAGTTATTGTTGTGAGTGTATGCATAGCTAATACGGAGATGCAGATGCTAACATGGACCCGGGAAATTAGGCTGCTTCTGACCAACTGTTGCCAATTTGTTCCAGCTATTAAAAAGCTGGACATATCTATTCAGAAATTCAGTAACTCTCATTGTCTTTGATACCTGCATATTGATAAAGGGCTGCTGCAAAACAGCCCTTAGAACTATACTCTCAGTGGTGGATTAGAACGGCCAAATCACTGTGACACACAGTAAAAAAATTCTTACCTGTTTTAATAATGATTTAATAATGTTTTAATCATATTAGATCAGAATATCCAGTTTAGCTTTGCTAGTAGAATGTGGCCACCCCTATTCTTCAAGAGGCCTCATATTCTTGCATGCTTAATATCTACTTGGTAGATTTCAGTGTATTCCTGGTTAAATTTGGAGGTTGCGTCCACTGTGTTAAGTACTCACCATCAGCAAACCTCTCCCAATAAACAAAAGATTTATTCACTATCTTTCAGTAGTTCCACAGAAGCAGACATAAGGCCTGGATGTTTTTCCTCCCCTTTGAAGAAATCACAGATGGCTGGATTTGCTCAACTGCATGATTTGCAAAAAGGCCAACACTGGGTACACAAAGCTTATTAAGCCAAAACAGTTGTGACTTAGTGAGATATATGAATCAGGCCAATATTTTTTTCCTATTTGCTTTCCCTACACTATAAATCTCTCTAAATTTTATCTGAGGAAAAACATCTCATTGAGTAGTGAGAATGTATGGGGAGCAGTTGGAGAGTACAGCTGGAAGAACTGGGTCTTTGTGGTTTCATTGTACAATTCTGTGTAGTTCTAGGTAATATTCTACACGTACTCCTACATTGGGCAACGAATTAACTCTTAGAAGCTCATCCAATCTTTCCATATTATGGTTCAGGGTATGAGGTGGCAGGATGTTTTTTTTAAAATTGCACGGACTCTGTTTTAACCTATTTCTATTCCTCTCTTCCATTCTCAAAAACCTGTTTATTCAACAAACGAGTCTAATCGCCGATCAACTCTCGTCAGCCCCAATTAAACAATCGCTTAAAACTATCCAATGCAGAGCTTGGCAAGCTTTCCGATTATAACAGGGTAATTTTAGATTATTCAGATTATTAAATTATCTTGATTCTCTCTGTTTAGCGTCAAGCATGTTCCTAGGCATGTCGGCATCCCTTCTAATTTGCCCCTGGGAATATAACCCACCATTGCTTTTGCCAAAATGAGAGAAAAGAATGTTCTGCTGCAGTATTTTGGATCCGTGGCGCTCTTTTTATTCTGAGGCGGCATGACGCTATTCACAGGGGGGGGGGGGGGGGGGGTGTCGGGGTTGGGGGGGGCCCAAAGCAAGTCTGATTGCACCCAGCCCCGTTTGCTAAATAAAACTGAACGGCTGGGTCCCCACGTCAGCAAAGATCACGCCGGCTTCCCCGTCCTGCCCCTCGGCGACCCGTCCGGCCCACCCTCCCGCTGGTGGCGCTGTGGCTGGAGGTCTGGGCAGCCACCGCAGGGAGCTGCCGTCACCGCCTGCCCTCTGCCGGGCGAGGAGGGGCAGGAGCGCGCCGAGTGACGTGTCCTCTCTCCCCCCCCAGATCCCGGAGCTTAGCATGATTCATCTACAGCTGCCGCTAAGATGCTGCGCGCAGCCCCGATGTAGCGCTTGAGCTCCGACCCTCTCGCCGCACCCCCGGCCCGGAGACTTTCCCTTTCCCTTTGGGCACCTCGGGAAAAGGCAGGCAAGATGGAAGAAATCCTGAAGAAGCTGCAGAAGGAAGCGTCGGGGAGCAAATACAAGGCGATCAAGGAGAGTTGCACCTGGGCCAGCGGTAAGGAAGCGAGCGGCAGGCGGCAGGCACCTTCCCTCTTCCTCCTCCACCTCCTCCGCGCCAGCAAGGAAAGCCGACCCGCTCTTCCTGGGCTGCTTTTCCAATGCCTTCTGCGCCAGCTGCATCTTTCCCCCCCAGTTATCGCCCAACCTGCCTTTAAAAACCCGGGGCTGAGGTGTTTTTGTGCCGTTTCTCAATGCGCTTTTGCGTCGCGTCCATCCTCGGCTGTCTAGTTCTTCGCTCAGCGCGGGTCGAGGGACCCTTTGCTCTCCTGGCAATGGGCTCTCCTCCGTCCACATCTCCGATGTATTTACTCCAGTATATATATCTACGGAGATTTTCAGTCATGCAGGTCATGGTTGTCCCAAAGGTGCCTTTTTTTTCAAGAGGCAAGTGGACTTTCTGGTTTTTCTTGGAAGACCTTTCTCTTCTCACCCAAGAAGCTTTTTCAGCTCTGAGACGAGAAAGGTCTTCCAAGAAAAACCAGAAAGTCCACTTGCCTCCTGAAAAATACTCCAGTATATTTTTACAGACACCTCTATGGCTGCAGTAAATCCCCCATGTGTGAAGGCTTATTTCTTTAGCTCTTTTTAAAACTCTATTCTGAAAGCTGGATTGTGTTTTTGTTTTGGTCCCTTGGAGTCAGTTGCAACTTCTGTTATTCTGGACAACAAGTCTGTCATCCAGTCACTTTCTGTGCGTGAGGCAGGGCTAGAACTTGGGTGTCTGTGCTCCTAGCATGGCTTTAACCATTAGGCCAGACTGTCTCTGCTTCTAAGGTGCAGAACTGGTCAAGCGCCCATAGGAAAATGATAAAAACAGAAATGTGCTACAAGTTGCCATCGACATATGACCACAGTTGGGATAGGAAAATTCATCGCTAAGCAATCATCATGTGAGACATCAGGTGACTGCACCCAATTTTATAACCTTTTCTGCCAAGGTTGTTAAGTGAGACATCACATGACTGTTTCTTGTGACTTTTCCTGCTGGCTTACTCATTGACTTTGTGCATCCAAACCCAACTGGGAAGGTCACAAATGACCATCACAGGAAGCTGCTATTATGGTAAATGCAAGCCGGTTGCTAAGATCCTGGTTTGCAGTCAGGTAACCACAGCGATGCTGCCATAGCTGTAAGCGTGAGGACCAATCATAAGTCACTTTTTTCAGCACCATCATAACTTTGAATAGTCCCTAAACAAATGCTATTGAGGGCTACCCATATGCTGATAAGTTGAGGACTACCTATACACTGATTTAATTTAGCCAGTCACAAGTGTTGGGGTAGTCAGAGTATCCATGCATCCTCCCTTGCAAAAATCCGTTTTCTGATGAAATAACTTTCATAGAGGACTTTTTGAAGGCAATTTTTATAATTCAAAGGTTGTCCAAGACTCCTTGACAACACCCCGTAGAATGGCGATAGCAGGGCCTATTAATAATTGGCATCTGGCAGCAGGCCAGCCTGGCAAACAACCAGCCCTTGTTTTCCAGCTGTAGCTGGAAGCTGTGTATATTTTTTCTCCTTTAATGAAACATACACTTAATCTATTGCTGTTCATTTTTAATCCATTTTTCTTGGTTTGGTGATCTATAAGTGATATTTTACAATAAACCAAGCAGGAATATTACTGTAATCTCCATATCTGCAGGTAATGAATATTAAAAGGAAAATGGTAACAATAATAGATTGGGATTATAAAGTTGCTGGTTTAATATCCTGTGAGTGCCTAGCAATTTATTATTCTGCCAACAGCTTTATTTAAGCTATTTTGTGATGGTATCTGCAGGGAGGAAATTAAAATGTCAAAATGTAATCAAAGCCCTACCCCCTTTTAACATGCATTTTACATACATACACAGGCCGCTACTTACCTACAACACACAAGACATTCTGATTAGAAAATGATCAAACAAGATATCATAGTGTAGATTAAAGAAAAAATGTACCTCCTTCTCACCTTTTTATCAATATATATTCTTTAGTTTATATTTATATTCTTTATATTCTTTAGTTATGACATAAATTTGGTATGCTATATAAATGTGCATGTCGTTCTATGCTAGGCTGCTTCACTATTTTTATAACTTTAAAATGGTCGATAGTTTTGCCTTTGCTATATTCATATGTAGAGTAATAGTCTTTTTAACATGTTCCTTGAAATATATTTAAGAAGTTTACGCTGTTGAGGTTTTAAAATAAATTAAGTATCCTTGCATCAACGTGTGCTAAAATAATTCACTTTTTTTTATTCAGAGCTAGGAATGGCATTATCCATAGGATGGATTATTTTATTTTCACTTACCAGTTAGAGAAAAATAGGCTAGGGAGGATTTTAAATAATGGATACCATTCAGTTCAGATTAAATTAGTGTTTGTAAAACCTTCTGATTCAAACAATAAAAAGTAACATGGATCATAAAACTATACTTTTATTTATTTTAAGATTTGAGTTTGTAACATTAATTAAACAATAATTCATGTGCATTTTCTTACATAAGCATAATAAGCTCATATAGAAGTTAGGAAATGGTATCATTTAAGCTAAAGAGACAAGATTTGAGATATCTTATTGTACCATATGGAAAGGGAATTTACCAAGGAAAAAGTAGGCCTAAATAAGAGGAAGAACAGAGCCTATAAAATAATTTATTGGGGGAAAGGTGATTTTAATTTAGTTCTGAACACTTGAATACCTGCTCATGTCAGTCTATATGTGTGTAGTTGCAGTGTACAACTTGAAAAATTTTAATCTGTGATAATCCTGATTGAGCAAGATGGGACTTCAAGTTGCATAAGACTATATATATATTGATGTATGTTTTCAATTCCATGCTGGATGCTTTCTGAAACAATTCATTGCCCCTTTTCTATTCAGAAACATTAGAATCTCTGGATGCTACTACAAAGATCCCTCCTTATCAGTTAAGGTAGGAAATACTTTTTTTTTATTCTTCGCTTATGAGTGACATTTGAAATGAAAGAGTGAAAGTCTTTTCTGTTTTACATTTGCTGACTCTTCAAGTCAGTGTGGCACTGCTAGGAACTAAGATAAAAGCAAATTGTCCCATTGGTCAAGTTTTCCATATTCTCACTATTGTTATATATTTGTGGTTCTGAGATGTTCAACAATGCTTGAGTACATAGATTGCTTGAAATATGGTGCGAAATGCTGTGTTTGTCAGGGCATTCTTTTCCTCTCCCCCAACTTCTGTAAAAACTCAGCCCCCAAAATCAACAAGAACATCACATCTATTGTAATGGGGGAAGGAGAAAAGAAATGAAGGTATTAACTTTTAAAGTGCCATTGTGAAGTGCATTCCAGTGCTATCCCAATTAATGCTGCCATCATTAATTCACATTGTTATTGCTTTTTTTGGTAATAGTAATTCCATAATCAGAGAAAGACAATTCTACAAAATCCCCATGGTTCAAAGCTTATAAAAGTCTAAAGGCCACAAAATATGTAAAGAAATGGAAATGGGTGAAATTAAAAGCTCAGAAGAGATTATGAATTATGCTTCTCTTTCTAATAAATTTTTTGAAAGTAGACACCAATTTTGCACTGGATGTCCCCTTCTTGCATAGGAAAAAAATGACTTAGTTAATATATTGTTTAATTCTAGTGTGTGCAATGAACCAATGTTGGGCAGGCTTTTATTAATAAACCATATTTTCAGTCACAATAGCTGGGTTCATACAACACATTATGCCATAAACATACTAATAGTGTTATTGATGATGATAATAGTGTTATAGATAATGATGCATTATGCATGAATTTAGATGATGTGCAAGTTTTGGGAAAAATTAAAATGTCATTGGGTAATAACAGTAGCAGGATTAAGACTATAGAAGCAGGGGAGCAAACATTACAGATTTGTCATGAAGTTCTAGATATATTTGGGGCCATAGCTTTGGCATATTTCTGATGGTTAGAAGGCCTTGGGTTATGGAGGATAGTACAAAATGTATCTCCATGCTTTCCTTCTTTGTTATTTCCTATTTGCTTTGTTCTCTGGATTGATACTGATCTATAATAGAGTGAAATGCTGTCCCACTATTTTGATAAAAATATTTTGATAAAAGTCCAGCCTAAGTGGCTACTTATTAGCATTTATGGAAGATGAAGTGCAAGTATACGACACAATTGAACAGAAGATATATATATGTGTATACGTGTGTGTGTGTGTGTGTGTGTGTGTGTGTGTGTGTGTATACATACATTCATATACATATACATACACACACACACACACACACGTATACACACACACTTCTGTCCTATTTTCAGAGGCTGCCTGTACTGACAAGGTTCTTCAGAAGAGATTTGCCATTGCCTCCTTCTTAGGGCTGAGAGAAACTAATTGGCCCAAGGTCACCCAGCTGACTGCCTAAGGCAGGACTAAAACACACAGACTTCCAGTTTTTAGCCATGTGTCATAACCATTACTACATATCAATATTAAAACAGAAGCAAGGAAGAGCTTCCTTCATAACTGGCAACAACCTCTAAGTCATTTGAAATTTCCTTCTGTAAGGAAGTATTGTGCCCATAAAAATATAACCATTTTGTGTGAGAGCAGAATTGACTTCAAGATTTCTTATTTTCTGTGTGAATTTATTTCTTGACCTTTTAACTATGGCTCTAATACAGGGGTCCCCAAACTTGGCAACTTTAAAACTTGTGGACTTCACAAGTCTTAAAGTTGCCAAGTTTGAAGACCTCTGCTCTAATAGATGAAAAAAAGGAGAAATAATTTTCTCAATCGCACCACCATTACATGGTGAATTTGTCTTATAATTGTTAGCCATATGGCATTTGTTCCCTCACACTTATGAAGAAAATCATGATCTGAAATGTTGTGTCATTTCCTTTAGCTTTGGACAACATTTTCTAACACTGTAGTTCTAGATTACCTAGATTTTTTTAAAAAAAGAGAATGTCAATAGTTGCTTTTGCTTTGGTTTACATCTGCAGGTTATGTGGTATAATAAAAGATAAGTTTAGAACTACCTTTCTGCTCTAATAAGTAGGATAGGCAATTTTAAGGATTGCCTGAGCTTTTGCAGAAGGTGGGTAAAGGCCATGGGAGTTGCATGCAACTTTTGTAAAATTGGTTCAGGTTGTAAAAAAATATGAAGACAATTTAATTTCCTTCTTTCACTTTTAGTTTTCTAATGCTTTTCGTCCTGGGTTTCTTCCAGGATTGTGCATCTAGAAGTGCTTTTCCCCATGTCCTTATTTCATGCATCAACAATGGCTTCCATTCAATTGCTTCAACATTTACCAAGATGATTTGGTAATCTTTGAAAGCCTTCCATTGAAATAATTTTTGCAAACTTTGTTTCAATTTCCACTTTTTACTTTCTTCATTTCAAATACTTTAACTGGTCTGAACCTTCACGTAATCTGACTTTAGATAATCTGACTAATTCAGACAATCCCTTACATATTGTTTATTAGACTTATATCTCTCTGTTCCTTAAAAAAATTCAAGGTAGCATCCATAGTGCTCTTTTCTCCCATTTTCCCCCTAACAGCAACTTTGTGAGGTAGGTTGAGCCGAGAAAAAGCATGTGGCTGAAAATCACCCTATGAGCATCCATAGTTAAACGTAGAGTAGAACCTGAGTCTCCTTGCTTCTAGTATGTATAGCCACAATGATAAATAAAATGCTTATTCAGTAAGAAGAATGAAATAATTGTTCACTGCTTTGAAGACATAGTAACAAATGCAATTGGATTGTATTCAAAGGAATGGACATTTCCAAACATGTTCTTAGACTTGTATTCTGTATGTCAATTGAAGTAGGCTGGGATTTTAGAAATTTCATGCTATAATTCATTTGTCCATTTTACAGTTCCAAACTATACTTCATTTGCCTATTTTACAGTTGTTTGGTTTAGTTTTTTATTCCCCATTGCAGTGTTAAAATTCAAACTCTAGCATTTTGGAGCTAGTGGAACCATCCGATGGGTCAAATTGTAGAATGAAGAGATTAGTGATAAAACTTTAGCTGATAAGGGCAGGAAGTATCTAATTGGTATTTAATGTTGCTAAATGCTGTGATGGGAATTAAGAAGGTCCCATAACATTAATCAGAGCTTTGGCTAAATCAGAGCTTCGGTTAAAACCTCTTCGGCTAAGAGGTTAACTAACTGAATTAGGTTGTGATTTTTAATATATTTCCCTACAATACTGTACTCAGGTCCAAATAAGGACAAACATTTCAGATGACCACTAATAGGAAATTAAGAGTTTCCTCTATCTCTCTGCTTCCATCTAATAGTCTTCAAGATTTTTTAAACCTAACTAGTTCCATAGTTTACCGATAAACCAATTTTATCCGTTAAAATGTTGTATCTTTACCTGAAGGGTTTTCTGACGATCAATGTATTTGTGGATTTTAGTTGTAATTCACTACATCAGCTTTGCTAGAATTTACTTGTTCCTTTGCCAGATTGATGTCTAGATGATTGCCATACAGTAATAATAGTGGCAACAGAGATTTTTGTTTCTAAGGGCACAATAAATATAGCAGAATCAAGCTAGAATTTCCAAACATGTTCAGAATGTACTTTTTTCTGCTTTTGCTTCGTTGCTTTGTTCTTTTCTTACACTCGATGTTAGAAAGGAAGAATGGGTTCAGAAATAATCTTCTCATTATCCTTTCAAATCCAACCCATAGACTTTAATATCTAAGGATTTACTAGCATCACAAATCGGATGTTAGGGTATTTTACGTTGTAGTAGTAAGGGTAAAGGTTTGAATGCTGGATCTTTGGGTTCTTGCCTGAATAATCCAGCTTTGTTGATGTTGAAAATAAGAATGGATAAATTCCCATTCCCTCTAGTTATATCTCATAGACTTTTAGCTAAAATTGATGGCCAAAGAGAGCCATATTGTTTCGTGAAATGAATTACCTGCTTTACATACCTCTTTGATACCATTGAAAAACAGGAGACTGTTTATTATTTATGTTTATAACATTATGAGGAATTTATCTCTGTTAACATATGAACAATGCTGTTAATACTGCTATGGCATTCTCCAAATCAGTTTGCTATAGCTTTCACATTTATTGAAATACAACGTTGTTCCAGCCCATTTTGCATATTAGTAAATGTTTTAGTAAAATTCTAGATAAAAGTTTATTAATTTCTTTCTAATAAATATTTTTGTTATAACAAATTATTTTGATATGCATTTTCCTGATAAATATATTATTCTTCATATGTATATTAAAATGTGTATATTAAGAAAAAAAACAGGCTAAGATTGTGTGCATTCTAATTTGTAATTTCTCTTAATACATGACTTTAAAAAACCTGATTTCCAACTTTTAGGAAGTATGAAAAATATACTGTATTTGAATTCTGATCACTATCAGGCTTAAAAAAATAAAATTAAATTGACTTTATTGAAATATGAATTGAATGACTATCCTATCCATACTCTTAATGGAGTATCAGGATGCTGGAGCAATATTCCATTTGATTATTATACATTGATTGCTGGTTTTGCAGTATATTCATATCAAGCTAGAATCTAATTCTTATAAGGGTTGTTTTTATAATCTAAAAGTGGACATCATCCAAGACAGGTTTTGTGTTGTGCAAAAGCATTAAAAAAATCCTATCCAAATTTTGACAAAGGAATTCTATATTACTATACAGAGTTCAAGAACTTTGCAGAAATTATTGGCTACATGGAATTTTGATGAGGAGATCATTTCTCTTTGTAATAGAAGAAAACAACAGCTTTGAAGTCAGAAGAACACTTTGGGTTAAAAAAAAGTCATCTAATTTTCTAAAATGGATTATAAAATTGTTCTACTCAAGTGTAACAAACAATCTTCTTCCGACACTCCCATTTTGGGGCTGTAAACGTAGATAGATATTTTATGTTTTTGTTTGTTATATTTATGTTCTATTTAGCTTTAAATCCTGGCTCAAATTTGTCTTGCTGAATCACAGTTAAGATGGGTTATTGATCTATCCTGGGGTGGGATTCAGCTGGTACGGACCAGTTCAGGTGAATCGGTAGTTCCGGCGATCATTTGGCCCTGCCCACCTGCCCCTGCCCTAGTCTCTCCTTTATTTCTTTGTTTTGAAGCCCAGCTGATTTGTGTGGCACAGCTGTTTTACTTACCGGGGCTGCAGCAGAAGGTAAGCTTTAGAGCTGAAAATGGCTGTTTTTAAAATGTGCATGCGCGCAAAGGGCGCACTCACTGAACCAGTTGTTACACCAGTGGAATCCCACCACTGGATCTATCCCTTGATATCAGTTAAAGAAAAAGAAAAGAAAAGGGCCCCAAAGAGGAAAATAACTATAGGAATTGTATAATTTTGTTGCCTATGATTGAACAAATGATCACAGTGAAGAGATTGCTAACAACGTAGCTGCATCCGCTCCCTTTGTCATTCATGTATGGAGGCTACACTACAAAGGGAGGCTACACTACAAGTAAAATAAACTTTGAAACATTAATTATAAAAATGTAAGCTACTTGATTCTGAGTTCTGAAGAAACCTCTCTTTCACTAGGGAGAAGTGTCTCCTTCCGCTGCAACTTGCTTTGGAGAGCAAGAATATGAAACTGGCACAGCAAGCTCTAGCAGGGATGCAGGTAGGTAGCTAACGTTTGACCAGATTTGGAGTTATTGAATGAAATAAGCGGTTGACAGGAAAAGTGAATGATATGAAAGCTTAATTATACACTTTAAAAGCATGCAGATTCATAAAATGATATGGAAGATAAGCAGGACTATGCATTAGGATTAATCCTGGGCAAAACCTTTACAGGTGGTAAAGGTAAAGGTCTCCTGTGCAGTCATGTCTGACTCTAGGAAGTGATGCTCATCTCTATTTCCTAGCCAAGGGAGCCAACATTGTCCAAAAGCAATTTTGTGGTCATGTGGCCAGCATGGCTATATGCCAAAGATGCACATAATGCTGCTACTTTCCTACCAATGTGGTACCTATTTATCTACTCGCATTTGCATGCTTTCAGACTGCTAGGTGGGCAAGTAACAGAAGCTCTCCCCATCGTGCAATGCTAAGGTCTCAAACCGGGGATGCTGACTTTCGAACCAACAAGGCCAGTGTCTTAATCGCTGAGCCGTCACATCCCTGGTTGTAATGTAGCCTTCCTCAGATTTGATGCTCTCAAAATATATCTGCTTAAAGCATTCTCAGCCAGCTCTCTTGGGAATTGTACACCGACACACTTCCAGTTGGGGGACAATGCTGCAGTGAATATTTATGGACTAAGAAGAAGCCTTTCATGTCACTAAATGAAAGGTGGACTTTTTGAAGCCTACACAAAAGGACATCTCTGGTAAGTGCTGTAGGCCTCACATACTTCTCTAATGAATCCTTTAAACAAAAGTCTTTGGTACCCCAAGATATGGTTACAGATATTCCATTTGGGACAAGTGTTGCTATGGTGCTTTTAAGATGAAAAAAACCCACATCTGAATGCATGAGAGAGGAGAAACTTAATTCATCTTTTTTGAGAAAAGTCCTGAATGCTAGTCCGACAGTATTGAATGAGTGCATTATTCTGCATTTCAAGGGCAAAATTAAATGCTGCACTTGCCTTTAAGATTTGCCAGTTTTCTATCAGTTGGTTAGCAAACTAACTTATCCTTAATTCTTGTATTTGGTTGGCAAGGTTGGCAAGGTTGATTTGGCAAGGTTGAATGTTCTAGGTTGGATGATCGTGAAAATGTCACCACATCCCCGAGCTAGAACTCATCTTCTGATTTTATTTGCCTTATCTGAAACATAAAGGCTTTTCCTCTTCAAACTACAATAGGAATTGTGAGGCTCATTGCATCTTGTGATAGGCATTGCATGCGTTAAATAGATATTACTATTCCACCAAAACTTGCCTTGTTATATCGTTTGGAAAAGCAAGGTAATTTGCTAGTAAATATTATTTTTATAACAACATTATGGGAGAATCAAATGGAGAACCTCTGAAATTAAATAGTTCCATTTTTCTTTGCAGAAGCTACTGTCTGATGAACGATTTGTATCCATGGAAACTGACTCTGATGACAAGCAGTTGCTTAATCAAATGCTGAACGCAGTCAGAGTGACTCCATCTCTCAATGAGGACCTGCAGGTAGAAGTGATGAAGGTTAGTGTTTTACAGACGTCAATACTTGCTTGTTTGCAGGACAGGCTTCCTATCTGACTCAGCTCTGCAGTTCTGGAGTCAGTTTTGTCCCTTGATTGAATTACTTTATGCCACAGTATAAAGCTAGCTCTTACGCTTGTGACACAGTTGGATTGTTCTTTACTATTGTAAGCCTGGATCTGCAGGACATCATCTGCATTATTTTTTATTCATGTAAAAGGTCATCTTCCTTTAGTTGAAAGTCTGTAGGCTGGTACAGCTACAAGACAGATGTATGCATGTTGATGACCGAACAGACAAAGCTAAGTGCCTTTCGCAAACAGAATAATTATATACACCATTATTTATATTCAAACCAATCTTGGCTTATTAACCACAACTAGTGTCTTCTGGCTAGGTGAGGGTGCAACAGATAAGCCAAATCATAGCCAGATGTTTACCTTTATTGGGACTATTATAACACAAACATTGTGAAGGCATTGAAGGTTTTGGAACTCTCTTCATTTTTGTTATTTAAAAATGGGAAACAAGGAGAAAAAATTTAAAACCAGGCTAAACATTGAAAACCATGAAATTTATAATTTCAGATGAATCCTGAAGTTAAGGCAGTGGATCCAACAGAGTCATTTTAGGTACTGTTGTTTTCCAGACTGCACTCAGATATGAGGGAGAAACAAAGTGGACTTCTCTCCAAGCTCAGGAGCCATAAATTATGCTGAAGTCCTTATTCTGTTGCTTGCCAATGGCAGAGACAATCAGAATAATCACTGTCCTTAATAAACAAGGGTAGAGAATACTTTTAGTTGTTTGCTAGGCTAAAGTAATTTCGCCTAGTTGTATAGTTGGCTATACTGTATTATCTCCCTTAAAAAAGAGGGGGGGAAAATTGGGCTCTTCAATGGTCCTTCACTTTTGTGGAAGAAATGTTTAGTTCCAAATATCTGAATTCAAAGTTCTGAATCTATATGTGCGAATTGTAAATACGTTGAATATTGAATGCACTCTGCTACTCCTAGACATACAGTTTCATTACTGTGAATTAAATTAGTGGTAGTGCTGACCTGGCAAGCAGCCATATGCATTGGAAATGAGAAAAATATCAATACAACCTTGTTCTGCTAACTGTTACCATGGCAGTTCCTTTCTGGAAGACTGCATGTCTGGGGAAAAATAAAATTATGACAGTGTACTTCGGTTCAGTAAGATGCATATGTCATTCTACCTATCGAGACTATATAAGTTTTGAAAAACAGGGTGAATTTGTGCTCTCATATCTTCCAAAGCTTTTCTCTGGGATCATGTTTGAAGCATGTGCATATGTTGCCTTTCACACATGCAGTAATTTTTACATTGGTACATCACAATTATGTTCAGAAGAGGTCCATTTCACATTATTTTAAGTGTTTGAATTCAGTGCAAAACATAGTACAGTGAGCTGTCTTGATATTCAGCTTCCACAAAGAAACCATTTTTTTTCATAGTTTAACTTTGATTTTAAAGTTTAATGAGAGGATGGTTGAAAGGGATTGAATTGAAATAGCTTTTTAAAGGTAGAATAATGGAAAAGGTTGCCATTCCTTTCTATCAATTCAGAAGCCACCAGTATGGTCGCTATTCTGGAGTGTTATGTTGGATTGGAGAAGGAGTACAGAACCTGAGAGCAGAGTTAGAAAAGGGATCAGTCTGGAATCCTTACTTAGCCACAATTAAGTCCAAACCACCCCACCCAGATTTCATTGGCCCTTGTCTAATTCCAAGCAGGTTCTAAACATTAGTTGAGAAGATTCTAGTGCATAGGCTTCTAGCAGTAAATCAATTTAATTGGACCTTCACATGAGGACCTGGTTTTTCACATCTGACTACGACTTTAGAATACTCCAAAGACAAAAACGTTCTTTTCTGCTTTTTTCAAAGTCAAGTGTTTTCAAATGAAAATTTATTGAATTTTGTTTAAATTCTCAAATCCTTCTTATTTCTAATATTTTTAAATTTAAAAAAGTAAGAATATCCAGGAAACTTCACAAATAGAAAGCTTAAATCTAATATTCCTTGTCTACTATGCAATTAACAATTAAGCTTTAGCTTTTCAAAACTATGGAACATCTGAGAATATAATTCTAAATGTTCAAGCTGTCCTTGATTATTACTGAGGAACGTTATCAGTAACGAATGCCTATTCCTGCAGAGAATTCCAAGGCACTTCAGCGCTTCTCTGTATAGGCCAGATCTGATTAGTTCTATGAACGCCATGCTTCTTCAAAAGCGTAAACCTGAAAAAACCAAATAGCATCTAGTTACTGGAAGTGGAACCTTTGTGGGACTGGAAGTGATCCATGAAGTGAAAGAGAAAGCAGTGAAGTTAGGGCTGAGATAGTGATGTACACATAACCCAGCATGGAAGAAATGAGGAAGGTCTATGGGCAACCTTTCAGGAATTTGGGAAAGCAGGTCAATAAATGTGACTTGTTCACATTATTTTGAAAAGAAGGTCCAGAAGAAAAGTATGTTTCTGGGCAATCAATCCTGACTGAAAAAACAATGAGTGATTAAGGCAGGGGTGTCAAACACACGTCATCACGGTGGTGTTACGTGATGTATCGGGACTTTGTTCCCCTTCGCTAAACTGGGTGTGGGTGTGGCCAGCACCTGACGCATCCAGCCTACAGGCTGGGACTTTGACAGCCCTGGATGAAGGCATTGTTTTTTACATTCCGGAAATTAGGTTTTTAGGCTCCTGTGTTGGGATTAATCTGAAACAGAATGTGTATTTTGGAGCTAAGGTGTCAATTCTGTTATATACTTGCTCCTTTAGTTTTTATTTGACGTTGGTGTTTTTTGACTGTGTCCATCACAGCAGACATTTTATGATTCAAAGTGTCATTTCCTCTTGCAGTATTCATTGGGTAATGATGTCCTTAATAACTTCTCAAAAATCTAGATGTGTCACCAAGTCAAAAAGATTGATTTGAAAGCTCTGCTTAGGATTTGCTATAATCAGTTAGCTAGATTTACAATTTCTTTTTGAAATCTATTCATTTTATGTTAATATCAGCTTTGGGCTGTGAGATGTCTGCAAAAATTGCTCAGTAGACATAAACTTTCCAGCTCATTTTATCAACTTAGCGGTAAAACTGCTAAATTGTGAACATGGAAGTATTCTTCTAGGAGACAAAAAAATTGGCTACTTTCTGATAGAGAAGAGACTTGATTGGGTTATCGGGTATCTTTTTTCCTTGGTTTGGCTTGTTCCAGCTTTCCTCATTATCCTCAAATGTAAAAGTGCTGAGAAAGCAGCTGCATGCAAAGAAAGATGAAAATAACTAATTAATCCCCGCTCAACTATTTCCCTGAATCAATGTCAGGAGTGACCTTTTCTAGTATTTATGAGCTATTACTTCTTTCATGTTAATTAAAGTGATAAAGAATCTCTGGACTGAGATGATGACTATATACACTGATAAACTGTTCTTTGTTTTTTACCCTGACTCTGGAATAATTAATCTTCATAAATTTAGTAGGTCTCGTGTGTCATGCAGACATGGAATAAAGATTCCATTACAAAATGAATAAACAGTTACCTAGACAGGAGTAGGATAAAATAAGAATGGTTTATATCTGCATTTTCATGGACAAAATCTATCTATGTGATCGCCAGGAGTTGAAAATGACTTGATGGCACATCAATCAATCAATACCTGCATTTATTTGATGGGTGTGTTAGTTGCTTGTCCCTTTCAAGAAACATTAATCTTTCCTTAACCGAATGGAAGTAGAGATGCACTGTTATTGATTTTCTGTGTTGAGTAGGATTCTCATGTTATTTATTGGACTGGAATTGTCCAGTCACTTTTCATAGTCACTGAAATTTAATTACATTACAATGGAACAGATTCTGTTGGATTTTCTTCCATGTAAATCTCTTCATAGATTCAACTTTGCTGTGACAAAAACATTCTGATCCTATCTTTGCCTGTTTAGATATAAATAATACTGGTGTGTTCAGTAAGATTTCCCTCTCCCTTCTAAACCCCCCCATTCAAAATACGATATTCAAATAATAATAGCATGTTAATATATCAAGTACTTAACTGCAGTGAATTCTGGTAAAAAATAGCCTTGAGAACAATAGTATATCATCTATTATATGTGTATCAGATTGTGATGGGAGATAAAGTAAATGCTCTATTAAGCCACATTTAAGCTCATAATATTTCTTATTTTTTTTGTATAGCTACAAATTGATGAGGTTTAAGATACTTCAGGGTAGCTAAAGCTGACTTTGCAGTAGTGAAAGACATTTCTGTTTCGGCAAGGTGGACCATTCGGCGTTTGCAAATCTCCTCTGCTACTCATTACAGTGTTTGCTCTGGAAATGTCAAATGTCATTTATAATTACTTCCTTGTTCTGTCAGACTGGCAAAACAGGAGCTAAAGTATTTTTAGTCACTCTAAATCGCTGTTATAAATTATTTGGCATTTCCCAAGTCCCTGTTTAAAAGTGCTTCTTGAAATACCACAATTTTGAATCTAGTGACTTAAAGGGGGTATATTTGGGCATTTGAAGTACATGAAATATTGCATTCAGAGAAGATGTATAAATGTCACTCTGAGGCAGTTTCCCATTGCAGCACCAAACTAGCTTTATACTGAGCAATCAATTTGATCAATCCAGACCAGGGATAGCAAATCTGCTAACAACAATAGTGCCATTCATGGAAGAAAAGCAGCTCTGGTTGGCCTGTGTTGAGTAGCATTTACCAGGTGGGGAGGGACAGAAGAGTCAAAATGGCAGAACACAGCAACACAGCAAGTCTTTGCCTTGGTAAGCACATAGATGTCCAAATTGCAGCATTCAATAATGCTGCTCCAACTGCCATTTTGACACTTTGATTACTCATGCGGATATCGTGCTTATTCCCAGTTGCGGTTATTCTTCATATTTTTAACCATTTTAAGCGTTAATTTTGTTGGGCTAGGTAATGTGATCCTTCAGGTCCAAT